TGGCTGAAGAGAAAAGGGAGAGAAGAAAAAAGAAAGAAAAGAAAAACCGTCAACAGATCAAATTCCAGAAGGACGAGAGACCCATCCAGACCGGCAGAGCAACATTTACATGAAATGCAAAGGTTCTCAAAGCATGGTCATAGTGGTGGACAACACATTACTGAGTTCTTATAGGAATTAACTATGAAAGTATTACTGGAGCAACCGAGCACCTGTGACAGTGGAATTTGTAGTTGTAGAAAATAGTCTCACGTATATATAAGTAAATGTGAAGTCGCATAGAAAAATGCTTGGAGTTGCAAACTTGAAGGTTTTTTTTTTCTTCCCACAAACACAACAGTTCAACCTTCTCAAATTCTTCACTGCAGGTGCACAATTCCTACTCTACGAATCACACATGAGGGAGACCTCCCTCAAGCTACGGTGAATATGGTGTGAATATGTGTGTGAATGTGTTTTGCGCCATATTCACTGCAGCAAATTGTAACAAAACGTCTTCCTCACGTGCGACTCGTACAATAGGATGTGCACCTGCAAGGAAGAATTTGAGAAGGTGCGACTGTTGCGTTTGTGGGGGAAAGAGGAAAAAAGAACAAAACACATTTGAAACTCCATCCATCTTCAACCGTTTATTCCTTCAGGGTCACGGGGAACCTGGAGCCTATCCCAGGAGGCATCGGGCACAAGGCAGGGTACACCCTAGACAGGGTGCCAGTCCATCGCAGGGCACAATCACATACACACCCATTCGTACACTACGGACACTTTAGACATGCCAATCAGCCTACCATGCATGTCTTTGGACTGGGGGAGGAAACCCCCGCAGCACGGGGAGAACATGCAACCCCGGACCCTGGAGGTGTGAGGCGAACGTGCTAACCACTAAGCCACCGTGCGTCCGTTTGAAACTCTGACGTCAAAACTGACTGATACACAAGCGAGACTATTTTCCAGGGCTGGGTGAGATGATCAAAATATCCTATCACGATACTGGAGGACATTTCAACATGAATAAAAATAAACAAAAACCTTAAACTGACTTCGATGGTCATCTTTCTAGTTGTCGTTTCTACAAAAATAATAAATTACGTCAAATCAACAGCGTCTAAAGTGTCCGTAGTGTATGAACGGGTGTGTGAGTGTGTATGTGATTGTGCCCTGCGATGGACTGTCCAGGGTGTACCCCGCCTTGTACCCGATACTCCCTGGGATAGGCTCCAGGTTCCCCCGCGACCCTGAAGAAGGAGTAAGCGATTGAAGACAGTTGGATGGATGGAAAATCAACAGCATCTGTTCAGTACCATTTAACGCGCGATTACTTAAAACAAACAAAATCATACCAACGATATCTCCGAAAAGTGTATCGTGTCTAATCGTTGATCACGATATCCCTATTATAACCAATATATATCGCCCAACTCCAGATTCCACGGTCAAACGCTCCGTCGGTTTGCTCCAGAAACACCTTCACGTCACATCATGACTGCAGCCTGTACCGAATGTTTTTTTTAATGGCTCTAATGAACACAGATTATTATTGTGTACATTCAAACAAAAAGAGGAGTCGGACATGTGAATAGTCGGGCAGGGAAAATGTTGAGTCTGTAGAATGGTACAAATTAAAAAAATAAATTAAATGAAAAATGAACTGATTTACAGTCTAGAAGACTGCTAGACGTGTAATCAGTGAAACCTGCCTTGGTGTATACATCAGCAGCGTGTCGAAATCATTCGAGCTACTTCCGGGTTTAATCATCAACAACCACACACACACACACACTATCCGTCTGACCTACTTGGCCTGGTCCAGCCTTCTTCCAGTGTAGCTGTGCTAAGCAATATAGAATGTCCGAGCCATGCCGAAATCAACAGAATTTAGTATTAATATGCCTTCATTTTTATTAAATAGAACATGCTGCAAAATTGCGCAACGTCGCGGGCCTCAAAAACACACAAGACAGACTGCAATGCAAACACAACAACAACAACAACAACAACAACTGACTAGCATGGCGGACATTTATATCACACATTGATACATATCTGAATAGTTGTGCATTGCAAAAGCACGCATCTGGAAATAAGCTACAAACAAACAAACAAACAAACAAAGCGTCCACGAGGCGGCGACCGACAGTTACTAGCTACACATCAAAGCAGACTCACCTAAATAGGAATAATTTGCGATGGTTGAGGTATAATGCGTATAATTACATATAAAATTTTTTAATTAAAAAAAATCGCAGTCAGGTGAAAGACATCAGAAGTTGACGCCGTTTATGAAAATCCGAACGTCACTCGGCTTTTCCCCAAAACAAGTAAACAAACGTGCGCCACTACTACTGATCTCTCTTCTCTTCCTCTCTTCTCTTCTTCTCTTCTCTTCTTCACTGTCCGCCTTCAGACCTCCAAAACACTGAGTCTGGACTGAAAATAAAACGTAAAAGAACCCAAGCACGGTGAACGCACAACGAAACGTGAATACACAGGTTCCGCGCGCAGCTGCGCAACCAAAATATTTGCTGTTGACGTTTGTTTACCGCGTCGCCTTAAATAATTTCACCGCTTCACGTGGGGTAAAAGTGACCCACCGCTGACCAATCACGATTTCAGAGAGAGAATCCAAGGGTACCGGGATCAGCCAATCACGATTCCAAAAGCGAATCCAAAGGAACCGGATCAGCCAATCACGATTCCGAAAGCGAATCCAAGGGAACTGGATCAGCCAATCACATGCGGCTTTGCGTGGGCTAACACGTTCTCGTGTCGTGTAATAAAGCACTTTCTGCAAGCTGGGGCTGTGCTGGTATAGGAAGATAATCACCACACAGGATTAATGATAAATACCACACTGATGTGGATTATTGTGTCACGATTGCTGTTTTTAATATTCATGATTGACGTTTTTTTTTTGTTTAAACCTTTTAGAGTTACATTTAATGTTGTGGAGTTGTATAAGTCATTATAGCAGCTACACTATATTGCCAAAAGCATGTGGATACCTGACCATCCATTTCCAGAGTTTGTTCATCTTTTGCTGTTATAATAAGCCCCGATCTTCTGGGAAAGCTTTCCAAGAATTTGGAGCGTGGCTGTAGGGATGTGTTCATTCACCCACAGGAGCATTAGAGAGGCCAGGTGATGTTGGGCAAGGAGACCTGGGAAGCAGGCGGTGTTCCAGTTCATCCAACACAGAGGTGTTCATTGGGGTTGAAGTCAGGGCTCTGTGTAGGCCACTCGAGTTCTTCTGCACCAACCTTGGCAAACCATGAACCTCTCTTTGTGCACAGGGGCATTGTCATGCTGGAGCAGGTTTGGACCCCTTAGTTTTAGGGAAATTGTAATGCCAAAGTTTACAAATGCATTCTATACAATTGTGTGCTTCCAACTTTGTGGCAACCGTTTAGGGACGGAACACACATGGGTGTGACGTTCAGGTGTCCACAAACTTTTGGCCACACCCGTTCGTTGAACTCCCTCTTGAAAAAAATGCAGCTTGTTAGAGAAACAGAAGAGCACAACGTCCTCTGTTTCCTGAAATGATACTGACTGTTACAAAACCCTGACACTGGAGACTCCTTCCATAAATTTTAAATAACTATCCCCTTACAGAAAACGGCACCGTATCAACAGTTCTACATTTTCTTATTCCGTATATTATTCAGCGTAAATGATGTACATCATCTGCTATACAATGATCTATAAATGAATCATTACTATAGAAAAAATAACATATTAGACAGAGTGTGCTAATGTAAACTTGTTATTAGAATTCCAGCCAGAGCTACAGCTAGAGCTGCTGTTATAGAAAATTACTGAACAGCTCCAGATTCAAGAATTGAACAGCGTTGTGGTATACATCGATTTATTTGACAGTGATCATACAGTTCAACGTTGTTACATCAAATGTATCAGATATAATGCCAGGTGAAAATATAAAATTATTTTCATTAAAGAAAATGATCAAAATAAACTACAGTTGAAAATATTGCTTTGTTGCGGTACAAGCCCGTGCTTTACTCTTGTAAAAGCGCCACGTAATTAGCGCCTCTCTGCACAACAGTATGCTGAGTCGATTAGAAATGTTCTCTCTGTTTTGAAATGTGGCACTGATTTGAAGTTCAGGATCAAGGTCAAGTGGCTTTGTTGTCATTTCAACCATATACAGCTGGTACAGTACACAGTGAAACGAAACAACGTTCCTCCAGGACCACGGTGCTACATGAATCAAGACACTAACCACATGACACGACACAGAACAGAACTAAATAAGATCTACATTATGTATTTCTGAGAGAATTGCAAAGTCCAGGAATGACAAATCTATTCTTGAGAACAAGTAGTCATCATATGATTTGTTTTATTGCTTTGGACACTAATATTCCGCAGAACCTGATGTTCTCACAGAGATGATGAGATCTGTAATCTGGAGTAAAACCAAAAAAAAAAAAAAAAGAAGTATAATCTGTGTACAATCCAGAAACAGGGAAGTCAGTAGGCCATTCAAAACAATATTGTAGATCTAAAATGATATATTACTCATTATTATTTTTTAACAAATGTTTACAATCATTTAAAAGAATCTTCCCTGCTGTGTATTACTATATTATTATTATAATTATTATTATGCAGTGTAACGTTCAACTTGTCATTCAAGTGGCCTGTCTGTGCCTCCTGATGTAGTCTGATAAGAGAGTAGGATAATCAGTCATGACTCCCGTTGCTCCTGCTGCAAAAGCAGCCTCGATGTCCCGTTCTTCATTACAAACGAACAGATGGATCTGAAGGACACAAAAACAACGAAAGAGAAAAGACCATTAAAAAATTAAATAGTAAAAGGTCTGCACTTATATAGCACTTTTATCCAAAGCGCTTTACACTGTGTCTCATTCACCCATTCACACACACCAACAGTAGCAGAGCTGGCATGCAATTTGCTAACTTGCCGTCGGGGGCAACTTGTGGTTCAGTGTCTTGCCCAAGGACACTTTGGTATGTGGAGTCACGTGGGCTGGGAATCGAACCGCCAACCCTATGATTGGTGGACAACCCGCTCTACCAACTGAGCCACAGTCACCCCCTGGCAGATGCACTCTGGCATGTGTAAGCTGTAGACTGTTCTCCAAATTAGATTTCATCTGTAATTGAATACACAAAATGCAATTGGATGAATTTCTACCTGAATTCCTCGGTCTTTAAGATGCTGAAACAAGCCTTTCCTCAAGGTCAGCCTATAACACAAATGAAACAAACAATTATTCAGTAGTACAAATCTCGTACGAATACAAAACAGTCTGATGCTATTTTTGTTATAACATTTAATCTTCTACTTTTATAGTTTGCACTGTTTCAAAAGTGCAAAACTGTTTAATTTTTACGTACTTTTGAATTAGTGAGATGACAAATCGGTTCCTCAGAACGCCAGGATCAGGGATGTAAGTCCTAAAGGAGAATTCAAATTGATAAATGATTAAAGCCTACTGAATTGTACAAATACTGTAATGTATTACATGGCAAGAGGTATTGTACAGTCTAGAGCAGTGGTTTTCAAATTGGGGGCTGCGGCACCCTTGGGGGCAGCCAGGGGGCGCCCAGGGGCCTCAACAGTTTTGGTCGGAGCCACCAAGCCTATCCCTCACACTAGTGTGTTTTCTCTTTCTCACTCTCAGACAACCACACACACACACAATCAATTCCTAATATAATGTAATGTAAAGATGTAAGATGTAATTATCAATAAAAAAAAATGGGGGATTAATTCAGAAGTCTGTATTTTTAATGTGTTTTAAAGATATCCTGCAAATGGGGAGCCTCAGTCAAATGTTAATGCCATTTGGGAGGCCTTGCCCTGGAAAAGTTTGGGAACCCCTGGTCTAGAGGCACCACGTATACATTTAAAAATACACAATAAACACTTTACATATACACTGATCAGCCAGAACAAGCCAGGTCTGACCAATCGAGGCATGGACTCTACAAGACCTCTGAAGGTGTGCTGTGATATCTGGTATCAAGACGTTTGCAGCAGATCCTTTTGTCCAGCACATCCCACAGACGCTTGATCAGATTGAGATCTGGGGAATTCTTTGAACCTTGAACTCTTTGTCATGTTCCTCAAACCATTCCTGAACAAATTTTGAAGTGTGGCATGGACCATTATCCTGCTGAAAGAGGCCACTGCCATTAGGGAATATTGTTTCCATGAAGACATGTACTTGGTCTGCAACAATGTTTAGGTAGGTGGTACGCATCAAAGCAATGCTCACATGAATATCAGGACCCAAGGTTTCCCAGCAGAACATTGTCTTCCGGCTTGCCTTCTTCCAGAACAAACTGCCCACTTACTGCTTGATATATCCCACCACTTGCCAGGTGCCTTTATACCGAGATAATCAATGTTATTCACGTTACCCATGAGTGGTTTTAATGTTATGGCTGATCAGTGTCTATGAACACTAACTAATAACTAACAACTAGCGTGTTAATAAGAGTAGAAAAATGAACTTGAGAAATAAAACACACATACGTGTTGATGACTTGGGGCAGGTAGTACTGCAGGAAGCTTTCTCCCAATGTAACGAAAGGCAGAAGGCCTGTGTAGTAAAGTAGGAGCAGCTGTAGGCCACGCATTTCCGTGAACATGTAAGGCATAGTGGAATTCTAGCACAACACAGACAGGGAGAGCACAACAGAGGACAAGGGTGAGACAGTCAGAAAAAGAGTGAACTTATGAAAATAAAAAAATGGAAAAATCTTTAGAAATCTTCTAACCAATGTCTCAATACTCAATGTAATGTGATTGTCAGTGATTTGGGTGGTCAGTTTTCTGAAGCTAGCAGTTTTAAACACTTGTCTTTTCACATTTCCGCACCTCCAAAACACGCCACCTAAGCTCGAATATTTAATTACTTTTGCAAAAGGCATTTTCTGAATTGAATGTTATGATATTCGGGTGTAGATTTCACCTTGTCCTGATTGGGTGGATGCTGCTGGTCCACACCATCTGTTTTATCCTAAAACTGTATTTACAGAGTGTGGTGCACCACAGTGTTATGGAAGTAATGCACACACACACACACACACACACACACACCACTTTACGACATTCCTTCATGATAGACGACTCCACAGATGCCCAAACTGTGATGTCCTCTCGGTTATACTTCTTCACAAGAGAAGATACCTGAGAGAAAAAAACCAAGAAGAGCAAGAGAACATGAGACAGAGTGAGATGTTGTGTGGCATACAACTGCACAACAGAAGGTGTAAAATTGGGGTTTCATATATAGCAAACCAGATAACTTGGGCAGAACATCTATGTTCAAGTTGGAATGAGCCCCTTAAGACAATCTGCAATCCAGCTGTAGAATGAGCTCTTACCTTTTCAATCAGCTCCATGTTGTGCTCTTTCACCTCGATGTTCACAGGCATCCTAGGAAACCTGCGGAAGATGTCTTCTAACAGGGCAAACCTTCTGTCTGAGCCAGTGCTGTAGTGACCTGCAGTGTGTGTTAGAAATGACATAAATATATAATACATACTGATTTTGTGATTGTGTGTGTGTGTGAGTGTGTGTTTGGATACACACCTGTGTGAAATGTAACCTCAAGTTGTTCCTTATATAGTGGTAGATCCTGAACACCAAAAATTAGAAATGGAATTAGCCATCATGAAAATATTTGTTATTTTATTTAATTTATTATATATACACACAGTATTCTATTGGCGATAATCTGCCTCTTTGATCTTTCTCGTCAAAGTCACCTTTTAAGGTGAATGATGATCTGTATTCCTCAAGGTTAAATATATTTTACTTAGTTTTTATGTATTATTATTATTAATTATTTTATTATTATTATTATTATTATTATTATTATTATTATTATTATTATCATTATTTGTAAGTCTTATATGTCTATGAGATTATTTGTGGTTTGATTGGCTTTGGGGGAAAAATATCCTGAGAACTAGCACTGAACATTTAAGCTAATAGCTATTTATAATTAATGATAACCAAAAGTACAAAAGTAAATAAATTAATAAGTTGAAATTTTTTTAAACTACAGTTGAACAAAATTAGGTATATTGTTTTGAAAATGAGAATAACATAAAATGCAAGTGTGAGTTTGTTGTTGTTGTTGCACAGCAACAACGACAAGTTCTAGTTTATAATAACATACTGTATATAATTATTTTAACCTCTTTGTAGTATTCACGTATTTTGTTGAGTAAAAAATTGAATAAAAAATTATTTAATCACAAAAAAGGTATTCTAGTTAAATGTATTGTTTGCAAATAAATACTCAGAAACATGAAAATAAGTATACAATATTTACTGTACATAAGTATATGATGACTCCACGTTTGCTTGGATTCAGACAAATGATAAAATTCTAAATTTGAGTAAAATAAAAAATTTGTAAAAGAGAATTAAATTTTAAAAACAAAAAACTAAAATATCTTCTCCATTTCAATTCTATTCAGTATTATTGGTTATAGAGTCCAAATGAAATCCATTTCATTTCCAGGTTGTAACACTACAAAAAAGGAAAAGTTCAAAGGGGGTGAATACTTATGCAAAGCGCTTTATATGTCCTCCTTATGAACAAAGGAAGCATAACATAGTCAGCATGTACAGTGCCCTTCATTAATACTGGCACCTTTGGTAAATATGAGCAAAGAAGGTTAAGAAAAATTGTCTTTATTGTTTAACCTTTTATCTTTTGTTAAAAAAATTAACAAAAATACTTTGCTCTTATGAATATCAAATAACTGCAAACACAACACAGGTTTATCAAAAAACAACTTTGTTAAATATACGTGTGCAACAATTATTGGCACCCTTTTAGTCAATCATTTGTGCTACCTCCCTTTGCCAAGATAACAGCTCTCTCCTGTAATACCTGATGAGGTTGGAGAACACATGGCAAGGGATCTGAGACCGTTCCTCCATACAGAATCTCTCCAGATGCTTCAAATTTCGAGGTCCATGCTGGTGGACTCTCCTCTTCAGTTCACCCCACAGGTTTTCTATGGGGTTCAGGTCAGGGCACTGGGATGGCCATGGCAGGACCTTGATTTTTTGGTGAGTAAAACATTTTTGTGTTGATTTTGATGTATGTTTTGGATCATTGTTCTGCTGGAAGATACAACCACGGCCAATTTGAAGCTTTCTGGCAGAGGCAGTCAGGTTTTTATTTAATATCTGTTGATATTTGATAGAGTCCATGATGCCATGAAATCCTAACAAAATGTCTAGGTCCTCTGGCAGAAAAACATCCAAAAACATTAAAGAGCCACCACCATACTTAACCGTGTACATGAGGTACTTTTCCATATGGCTACCTCTCTGTGTGCACCAAAACCACCTCTGGTGTTTATTGCCAAAAAGCTCTATTTTGGTTTCATCTGAACATAGAACCCGATCCCATTTGAAGTTCCAGAAGTGTCTGAAAAACTGAAGACGCTGGAGTTTGTTTTTGGATGAGAGTAGAGGCTTTTTTCTTGAAACTCTTCCAAACAATTTGTGGTGATGTAGGTGACTTCAGATTGTAGTTTTTGGAGACTTTCTGACCCCAAGACGCATCTAACTTCTGCAGTTCTCCAGCTATGACCATTCAAACCATCCTCTTCACAGTGAGTTGAGACAATACAGACACATGTCTAATTCCAAGTTGATTCACAACATTTCCAGTTGACTGGAACTTCTTAAATATCGCCCTGATGGTGGAAATGGGCATTTTCAATGCTTGTGCTATTTTCTTATAGCCACTTCCCATTTTGTGAAGCTCAACAACCTTTTGCCGCGCATCACATCACAGCTATATTCCTGGGTCTTACCCATTATTATGAATGACTAAGGAATTACGGACTATGTGTTGCCTCACATTTATACCCCTGGTTGAACAATTTCTTGTTCCTAGTCACACAGGTATACAAAAAAAATAATAATAATAATAATAACAAAAAACAAAAACAGACAAACATACATATATATATATATATATATATATACATATATATACATATATATATATATATATATATATATATATATATATATATATATATATATAT